GTGTCATTTTATAATCATACGTGTCATTTTATAATTATTTTTAAAATTATGTGTCAGGCGTTTGTGATACACACACAATTGAGTAGTAAAAAATGTGTTTAAAATGTTGTGTTTCGATGGGTTCAGGGGTTCAGATGACAAGGGACAAGTAGAAGGGTTCACAATACAAACACATACAAGTTCAAGGGTCCACCAGACCATTTTGCCTATGGAAATCGATTCCCCTTTTCCAGGTTAAGATTAAAATAAGCATCTATGGTATTAGCACAAAGGGAACCAGCCTGGACAATTTAGTGGTGTCTTCCGAGATGAAAAAGGATTGTGTTTAAGTAGCTAGTGGAGTGATATTGAGGTTCAAGACGATGCGATTTCTAGACTTGAGTTCTTGAGGCCTGGGTTGAACCAATGCAAGAAATGAGAGCCACATGCAAAAAAGTTGATTGTGGAGTCGAATAATGTTATGCTTGTTCAATATGTTAATGATCCCCGAGCCAAATGAAATAACTATGCAGAGGTTGAAGGAAATTTCCAACTTGCTGAAATGTATAACTTGTGCAGTTTACCATGTCATTGAAGAAGGCCAATGAAGCTGCTAGAGACTGCTCTGACAGACGGATAACTTTGTTTTGGATTCAAGGGGTAAGGTGAATCTTTATAGGGCCAGCCAAGGTTTCAAACTCAATTTGCATTTTATAGAAAATGATCCTTTTAGTTTGTCAAAGTTTGGAGGGACTGATTAGCCTTTGTCTAATTGTGTTTTTTTAATGTTTAGGACAATATACTTGTGTCTTTTACTAGCTATATTTAATAGAATTGCTTCTCTGTTTGGGTGTTAGAAGTTTGTGTGATTGGAAATTTGGCATGATCCTATATCATGGAGAGATTGGAAGGAAGTACAAGTTGGTGAATATCAATATCAAATAAGGGGAGAAAAAGAGAGAGGAGGACAATGATGGTGCAGCAACGTAGCAAATGCTGAAACTGTTTTTCTCAAGTCATGTCTAACACAAACACATGGATGGACCTTTTACCACCTCCATCATGCTCATACCTTATGAAGTATCTAACCTATTTAAGGGAAAAGATGTCTTGCAAGGTCCTTCGCTATAATGATTTAGGAGCAAACTCACCAAGCCTCCTCCATCATCATCATCAAAATCAGTAGTTTTAGCTCCAGCATCTTGTACTCGAACATCTTCAGCAACGGATGAAACCTGCATTGAACCAAAATAGCCAGTCAAGGCTCAGTAATACTGTCATCCAACAGTATTCAGAGAAGCAAGATCTACAGAAATTATATATCATTAACAAGTTCAGCCTATAGACATACCTTGATGGTGCGACCCACAATCTCAAGCTTGCAATTCAAACTTTGAGATGCCTTTGCATGTTCAAGTTGAGCAAACTAAGATGAACCCAAATCAAGACATAAAGGCATTACAAAAAGAAAAAAAATTATGACAGACAATATATACTGAAAAGAAATATTGCAGTTCACTAAATACTACCTTGGACAAATCCAAATCCTTTGCAATGTCCTGTTTCAGGATTTGTAGGTAATTGAACAAGCTCTACTGACCCAAAAGCTTCAAACATCTGAATACAACAGACATAATGGAAAATTAGAGGGTGTTTGGCTTAAGAGTGTTTTCAGCTCTCGAGAGTGTTTGGATATTTTAAAAACAACTTGAAAAAAGTTGGAAGTTAAAAGCAGGTATCCCTACATTTCATTTTTGATTTAAAAGTTAAAGAAGTTTGACTCTTTAAAAACTATTTTTGAAAAGCTACTTTTTTTTAACCAAAGCCAAGCAGGCCCTTAGAAACAGAAAATAAAACGTTTGGCAGAGATGGGTCTTACTGTAGCAAGGACATTGAGAAAGTCAATTATACATGCTGAAGAACAGATCAGTATTATAGAGGAAATAAAGTTCAGGCAAACACATACATGGGTGTATGTGGGTGAAATATTTGATACATACGCCCATGTTTGTGTTTGCCTAAACTTTATTTTCTCTATAACGTTAATTTGTTCTTCAGCATGTTATATTCTACAAGTAAAGGTACATCAGCATCGCAGAATATTGTGTATATAAACCTCCACCATTATATAATGCGCATGATAAGTCAATATTCTAGTGCTTTGTTACCTATCTGAGCTGTAACTCTGTCATGTTAAAATGAAGATTTCCTACATAAAGTTCTCTCAGAGGCAGCATTTGTCCCTGCCAACCCTGATCCAGCACCAGATGCGGTTGACTAAACAAGGTTCTTATCCGCTTCAGAAGGTTTTACGATGACTGGTTGGCCAAAAAGCAAGTGACCAGGTAAAGCAATAGCCATTGGCACAGACATAGCATCGTAAAACTCAATGTACCTGCATAGAAACCAATAATTTATGAACACAACTGAAACTTAATGTACCTGCATATATAGACCCCTTTCTTTGGTGCACCCATGAGATTCCTATTTTTACAAATGATTGGGTGGTATTTGTAGAAAATGTATTTGTAAGGCTCTTGGGCAGAAGACAATTGGCCGGTTTGGTCGACTTACCTCAATCGGCATCATAAAAATTATAAATCAACTAATTTTTACTTACATCTTGGTTGGATGGACGTTATGGATCGTTTCATAATGTATTGTACTGTAATTATTTTGATGAATATAATATTTGGATAGATCATATTAATTTTGTTGCTACATTTTGTCCTTTCATTAATAATATTTTTACTTCATGCAAAATATAGTGGCAGGACCAAGAAGGATAAAGAAGTAACCTGGTTAGTGACAGAAACATCCATAGAAAGTATATGACAGTGTTAGCAGTGGTAGTAGTTCTAACAGCGACCCTGATGGAAATGTCTCCAACACGGAGTTAAAATAGTCTGAGAAAAGAAGGCCAAGAACTGTTTAAGGGCGAGGTTGCAAAGTAGTCAACATTAAGGGGATTATAGATCATTTTGCTTATAAAAAGTAGTGCTCTCTACTTTAAAAAGATAGATATCACATTGACAGAACTTGTAAAACACGTTAACTAGAGAAGGAGAAGACGAACCAATGCTATGAATCTGACAAGCATGATAAAAGATCGTCTGCAAAGAAAAGATGTGATAGTTCCGGGCCTTCAATGTGAAAATGTATCTACTTTTAATATAATATAGAAAATATACTAAATTGAGTGTTTTTAGTTGGGGTATTTTAGTAATTTAACATACAAGTTAGGAAGTTACTGCTTTTAAGATAGTATAGATAGATAGATAAATAGATAGATAGATATAGAGAAGATCATTATAATAGTCACCAGTTGCTTTAAGATGGTACAAGTTATCTAACAATATCACAGCAAAAATAAAAATGATAACAAAAATTATTTGTGAGTAATAAGTTACTGATTACAAAAAAAAAAAAAAATTGTGAGTAATAGCTTTATAGATATTTAACAGCCATCAGCACACTCTTACCAAAAGGAGGAAAAGATGAAGTCCAATTAATTTGATGGAACCAACTCTCACAGTAATGGCTGGCTACAGCCAAAGTTTCAAACCGAACAAGAAACTGATTCACATTCCACAAAGCATTTAACTAAATCAAATTATGTTACTTGATGAATGTTCACAGGGTTCTTATATGTTTTCTAGAAGCAGAACCATGTGGTAACATCAACTATTCAAAGGTTAATGATTACTCTTATATTCGTATATGTTTTCTAGAAGTATTTGAAGAATAAGCAACCCCGCCCCCCACCCCCTGTTTTCAAGAAATCTATGGCTGGTTCAGATGCTGCAAAAAGTTAGAAACAAAAGTAGATGGCAGAAATATTTTATTCTCTTAAGACCATCTTCAACCCCTCTCTATTTTACCCTTCATTTCTATATTTGGAGGGTAAAATAGAAAATATCCTCTCCAACCCATCTTTATATTACTCTCTGTTATAGAGATTATAGAGATGTGAATTTCTCCAAATTTGGAGAACTACTATTCACACTCTCTATTTTACTTTTTCATTATTTTATTATTATTTCTATTATTTTGCAATGAACATATTATTTTACATATAATCCCATTAATTAAACATTTAATATTCATAATTCTTTTTAAATGTTATACGTATAATATTTTTAAAAATATATTAAATAATATATACTATACTATTTTCATCCCGAATTAATAATATGTTAATTTATTTTTTCAATTTTCGTCACTAATATAATTTGAAAATCTTCTATTTGAACAATTTTTAGCTAGACATGAAATTAAGGACAAAAATGCTCATGTTTAACTTCATAATGCATTAATAGAGCATTTACGGGAGTAATATAATAATCTTGAAAATTGAGTATTTATGTAATGTTTATGTAATTGTATTTCATTAATGATTTCACTTTTATTTGAATTGTCCATTAATTTGAATATTATGTAATATTTGCTTGCAATTATGTTATTTAAAAAATTAAAATAAAATATAATTTTATATTTTATTTTAAATAAAGAATTTGAAAAAATAAAATATTATATCACATGAAAATTATATAAAATGATTATTTGGGGAAAAAGAAGAAGAATGATTTATATTATGAAATAAGAAAATAAGAATGAAATAGAAATAATAATATAATATTGAGGAGAGAGTAAAATAGAGAATTGGGTTGGAGTTGATTGTATGAGAAAATAGAGAACTCTATATTTAGAGAGTAAAATAGAGTATAGGGTTGGAGATGCCCTTAGCTTTCCTGCTTGAAATAGAAGTGGTGGTAACTTGGTAACGATATTGTTGCCACTGAAGGAACCTCCCTGCTTTCACACAACTATAAGCAGTCTAGCAAACCTGCAGAGAAAGACAACTTGATGTGTCAGATCTAACCTGTTCTTAGAGTTTTCCTTGAAGTGTCACCTGAAGCCCAAGCTTGATCATCTTTCCCTATCTGGATTCTAGAAAATAATGACAAAACACAAAGCAAGAGGAGAGATTGAGATTGTGGAAATAAAAATGTCAGCAAGCCGTCTCATAGAGGATATCCAAAGAGAGGACTTGGAAGCATGAATTGTGGAATATTATTGAAGTAAATGTAGCTATACAGTTTTAAACCTTAGAAGAGGAAGAAATCACAGAAGAAGTAACCATATTGAAGGCAGTTGATGCAATGTATAACCATGGAAATAATATTATCTGTACAGATGCCAAGACAACATAAATGTAGCACTCTAATCAAAGTTTTATATTGGAATGATATTAAGTGAAGGTTTTCAAGTGGCATTACATAAACAGCATTTTTTCAAATATGTTTTCTTTCATATTATCCTTCCAATCAACTAGACTGCTTGCTAGCCCCCATCTGATTGCTCAATCTGATCATTCAGAACTCTGAACCCACCACCCCGGCTCCAGAACCTTCAACCATAGATAAATATATTCACTGCATCAAGTCATTGCAATGAAATCTAAAACATAAAAGTAAGTTCTTTATGCCAGAGTTCTTGCATGAATTTGAAGTAACAGATTGCAGATAGAAACTGGGTTTGTACAATAATAGGAATATCCCAATTCCAGAGGATGTCATGTACTAATTTAAACTCCACAAGAATGCTTCTGAAAAACATTCCAGAACTTAAAAGCTAATCTTGCATTAAACTCTCTTCTATTTTATTAGACCTGCTGTCAACTTTGACCTGTCGCAAAAGCTTGACATACATAAACAAAAATCTTTACAATCTTTATATTATAATACAAAACTCTCTTCTTTTTTTGTAGGGTGACCATTTAAAACTTTACCTTTCTCAAAAAAGAAAAAAAAAAAACTCATTCGCATGATTCTGAGTGCAATATCACATATTCATACTTCTTTCACAATACCAATTATTTTAATACAACTACAAGAACATCATATACAACAACCCATTCACACTTCTTTTTCTTAATCTCTACTATAGACAGCACCAACGGTCAAGTCAAGACAAGGGACAGAAGGTGGTATTATTTAACCAACAAGGTATCATGTACGTAATTGTAATGCTTTACCTTCTCTTCTTAATCTTCAGTTTTCTAATCCTGCACTACAAGAGTTCTCCTCCTTGTTTCATAAGCTAACCTAAGAAGGCGTGGTACCAAAGCCGAAGGCAGATTAACTTCTCACTTAAAAGACCCACACGACATAAGCAGCCATAGCCTGTTATCAAGAAAATGATCAAAATGGTCCTTGATGTATCTCCTTGACAAATATAGTCCTTACTGTATATGGAAAGGTAACAAGTTTGGTTTGAAACCATAAATCTGATAGAATTTGTAAAAGGGCCGTTAAATCTAACAAAATTTTCATGTGTGCTTGGCAACAACCTGTAAGCAACCTCACCATCACCCAAAACAACCACGCTCACTGGCCACCTTAATCACCAGTACCTTCCTCCACGAAAAAAACACCAATAATCAACTGGCAACCTTCACCCCCCCCCCCTTCTCGTCTTCTACCTCCATCTACTACTACCCTTCTATCTGAAACAAACCTCCCTTTCCACCACCAGTAACCCCATGCTGAAAAACACATCGAAATCCAAGAACTACCAGTAAATCATCTGGGGAAACCTACAATCTTCATCACTGGAAAAGCAAAAAGGGCTTTTTGGCCGAGAAATCAGCAGCAGCAAAATCACCAGAAAATTTCCCATCGGGGACCTCCTATTTGTATCTTCTCATCCCTCTTACCTTCCCAAAGACCATCTTAATGGAAACATCCACCAAAACTTTCAGGTTTGAAGTGTCACTCTGGATTCGGTTGGCTGGAAATACTCATCGGGAAGTACCTATTTTGATGCCTTTGTCTCAAAGGCCATTGTCATTGTTGCTCCGTCCGTTCGTGCTTGACTGTCTGTCTCATTGTCGCAGCCATAAACCGACTTAAGTGTTGGCACGTGAGTTCATGGACAAAAATGTTAACTTTAACACCTTTTTTTGAAAATTCTGCTCTATTTAGAGCTTTGGACCAAATACGTCACCTTTTCACATACATTACAGACTGTAACTGTCAACTAAAGCAGCCCAATACATTGATGATCATTTTCTCCTTGTTTTCTCCTTATATGTACAAATAATGAACATATGTAACCACTTTGACAGACAATACTAGAAGGAGCAAAAAATCCAAATGAACAAGATAACATCCACAATAGGATGTCAGCCTGGCTTCACCTACTTCTAATATTCTTATTTCTGCCTAGGATAAGATTAGGATCTTCAAAAACTCAAACTTCCATTAATCTAAAAAACTTTTATGCCCACCTCAATCATACTCCAAATATTTTTCTCCATTCTGCTACTAAGACTGATTTTCAGCTTAAAGAGGAAAATACCTCTACTTTAACTTTATATCCTTCATTTTAATGCATCGGCAAAAGAAGTCGGACATATATAATGAAAAAGGGAATGAGAGAGGACATGGACTTGCATGTCTTCAAAGCTAGATTTCATCACATTCAGCCATTAATCAAGAAAGAAAAAAGGCTAAGAGACACTACAGCCTCCTAAACTTTACACTTTATTGACATCCATTTTATTCCAATAGTAGAGAATCTGTCTTTTTAAGGCAAATTAGGACTTCTCTAATAGAGTTTTGTCCAAATCTTAAACTTATTTCTAGTCTACACAAACATATAAATCTCACACTTCGATCCATTTTGTTCTTTTTTCCTATGTCTCTAGTGACCATTATCTTTATTTTCTACAAATAATTTTTTTTTACAACAGAAAATTTTCAGGTCCTTGCTGAATGAAAAACCCACCCTTCAAACATGTTATTTAGATCCCATTCTTTAGTATAAATAAGGCCACAAGGATTCCTACTAGAAAGATAAAAGGAAAACATGTGTAAGATAGATGCACTATATTATTTGTTACAACATAAATGAAGAAAAACAGGAGATAATTACACAAAAAATTCTCATTGTTATCGCAGATCTGGTACAATGGCGGTCCCCCCCACAATGGCATGGACTTTCCATAATTCATCTTCATATGCCATAATAGTTTGGTACATGCTTCCTAGCTATGTTTGCTTGGACTCTTCAAAAATACCGCTAGGTGTGTGCCGGATCCTCCAAAAGCTATGTATTTTGAAGGATCCAACACGCAACGACGGCATTTTTGGAGGGTCCGAGTAACATAGCTTCCTAGTACAGGCTGGTATAAAACCATCACGACCCAAAATATCAAATTCTTAGAGTGTATTACAACTTCATAATATTTCAATAATGACACATCTTAATAGGTATAATTTGGTTGGACAAAATGGATAAAGAATAAAAATGGTAGGTGATGCAAGAAAAGAAAATAGAAACATAGGTATTGAGAAAAAAAGCATATGCTAAGATAATGAACAATGAGAGATATGGGTACTAAAGACATTCAAAATAAGGATAGAAAGAAGACTATAACAGTGTCATGTACTTCCCTATAGATCTAACAGCAACCCTTATGGAAATGTCTCCAACACTAAGTTAAAATAGTCTGAGAAAAGAAGGCCAAGAACTGTTTAAGGCAATGTGGGCAAGCTCAGTAATAGCTAATAACAGCAACTAAAGGGAGGTGCGAATGATGAATCTCTTACTTGCTGTCCCAAGATATATATTCACCATAAAAGCTGCAACTCCCTACCAAAACAGTAACAAAGTACTCCTGAAACAATTACCTAATCAATTTCAGTGTCTACACACACAAACAGAGAATCTATTTATCTTTTGGAAAGTACACAAACAACACAATATTTAATAAACATCACACATAATTGATATTAGAAGACCTTATCCCTCTTTCAAAGTTCAAATAATTAATTTTACCTTAAAAAACATTGTGCACATCCAGTACCACATCCAAAGATAAAACATTATGAGAGAAACTGAACAATCAAATGTCTATCAAAATTCTACAAATGTGACATAAAAGTAGGGGAGAGGATCGACATAGACATTCATGATAGTAGGTAAAAATAAAACTAAAATCTCGAAATGCTCATCCTTTATCAATTCTTTATATTAATTACCTTGACAAATGTTATTCATCCTTGAATCCCAAACACATTTTCTGAATAAACAGAAGACTGAGCAACCACTAAGCAAAATGTGTTCACATAAACAAATACACAAAAATATTTACATCACCTATCAAGTCACATCCTAACCAAGTAAATTTGGTTTTAATCCTGGACACACTTAGATTGACTGAACCATGTAGAACTTCTCATACGGAAATCTCTAAGCAGACCAGACAAAAGTAAATTCTCAGTCTAGTTCTCTAATAGGAAAACTAGAATTCATGACCAAACTGTACAAGGGTTTGGAAATCAAACCAGCGAAATTAACAGTACTAGCTAATCCAGTTATGTCAGATTGAAGGACTAATCAAAAATTATATTATCTAGTTTGAACCTCTGATAACTGTTTTTGAGTTTCTGGGAAAAACAAATGCAAGGTTCTTTATGATTCCGGGATCAATACGTCTGTATGTAAATACTCTTCGTGTCTTCCAAGTTCCAATGATGGATTTTGCACTTACAAAGAGTATGTGTCATCAAATTATCATTCTTGGTGAACATAATAGGATTTTGCACTTCAACAAGACCTAGTACTAGTTCACCAGCAAGCTAATGTGTTCAACTAAACCAGCAACCATAAAGTACTAGTCCATCAGTCTCTCCCAGTTGGACACCAAGGACTTTAGAAACAAAGGATAATATGCATATAACACAAACAACCAAAACAAAAAAGTCTCCTTGTATAATCATGGCAATTAATTAGAACAAATGAAAATGAAAATATTAGAAGCTACTAAAACCACACTTTTGTGACTGAATTTTAGTGCCCAAGAAATTGGAAAAGAAAGTAGAAACATTTCAGTAATTGAAGAGCCAACAGACACCAGAGTCACCAAAGGGATGTTAATGCTGTAGGAAAAGGGTCAATTCTCTCGGTCAAGCAACATGTAGAGATTGAACAGCCAGCTCAGTAAGCATAGAACAGCAGCATTGGAGAATCATCAGACAATAGAGTTGGAACTTAACAAGGAAATTAACAACAACAACACACCAAGCAAATTAATAAGAAATTTAACAGAGAAAATTAAAAATTCTTCATTCAAGGAATAGCTATGAATAGCTGTCATAATGTTCAATAGAAACCCTAATGGCACATTTTTTACATCTACAAACCCTAATCAAGACGATAGATAAAACACAACCCCCTAATCAAGACAATAGATAAAACAACCCTAAAACTGATTAAGAGCTGGTAAATTTGGTAACAGCCTTTGTACCCTCGGATACAGCATGCTTAGCCAATTCACCAGGGAGCACCAATCTGACAGCAGTCTGGATCTCCCGAGAAGTAATAGTAGGCTTCTTGTTATAGCGAGCAAGACGAGAAGATTCTTGGGCAAGTTTCTCAAAAATGTCATTGATAAAGCTGTTCATAATACCCATAGCCTTGCTAGAGATACCAATGTCAGGGTGAACCTGTTTCAGCACTTTAAAAATGTAGATCTTGTAGGTTTCCACGGACTTCTTTACCCTCTTTTTCTTCTTGTCTCCTGCAGCTGCTGCGCCATCCTTGGGCAGCTTCTTGCCTGCTTTTGGCTTCTTCTCTGCTGGTGCCTTCTCTGCGGCTGGCTTCTTCTCCGCTGGTTTCTTCTCGGCCTTTGGTGCCATTGTTTGCAAAGCTAGAGAAAGTGAGAAAGGATAATTTAGGAGAAGATGAAGATGAATTTGGTGAAGAGAATTAAGGGAGGGGTTCGTTTATATAGTGGTTCGGTAGAAAGTTCTTATTGGTTTAGATGGACTGACGCGGATCGTGGATTGTAGCCGTTGGATTTGCAAACCAATCAACGGTGCAGGATAGTTGTGAACTTAAAGTGAAGTGTAATTGATTTGAGGTTGAGGAATAATTTGAAATTTTGAAAATTTGTCTGCTTCCTCTTTCATTTTGGTGGTAATTTAATTAAATAAAGTAAAATAAATGTCAAATAACTACTTTTATCGGATTTAGACTTTTAACTATTTAAAAACTTATCAATTTTACACTTATCGATTTTAGTCTTTTAAGTATTCAAAAATTTATCAGTTTTGATCTCATAACTATATAGCCCGTTTGGCCATAGATTTCCCAAATAATATTTAGGAAAAAATTTAGCAAATAGTGTTTGTCCATGCAATTTGTCATTATTTGGCAAATATCCCAAATTCCCAAATACTAGTTTTTTCTAGTATTTGGGCCAAATCTCATTATTTGGGATCTTTTGAAAATTAAATTTTACACCAAATTTTTATCTTTTACAAAAACACCCTCTATAGTAGTTGTTTGCATTGCATTACATATTTTTTTACGTGAACACCAAAGTAGTGATTAAATATTCAGTGAATATGAAAGTGGTGATATGGTTGTTGATGAAAATGATGAACAATCGGCTCAGGGTAACAAAGTCATATGTTTTTTCTACTTCATGATATATGGAATGATGTTTGTTGCACTCACTCCAAACTACCACATTGCTTCAGTGTCATGGACACGACTTGTTATTTGTTGCAACGAAGATCCAACTGACTTGTAATACAAACTTATGGTTAGTTTTGATAGTTTTAAAAACTTTTGGGTATAAATCATATTTTTCTAAAAAAGTGAAATATATTTCTCAAATACTATGGCTAAACACATAGTGAAATTTCACCCAAATAATATTTGCCAAGAATATTTGGAAATCTATGACCAAACGCTAGCTTACCGGTTTTACTCCTTTAAATATTCAAAAACTTATCAGGTTTGGTCTTTATCCATTTTTTATACAAATAGCTTAGGTTTATATTAACGGAACTATTCATTAAATTAAATCTTTTTAACCCATTTTTTAAGTTGTTTCTTTATCTCGCTACTTTTTCTTCAAATTACTCTTATGAAAAGAACAATAACCTCAACGATTCAAAATAAAATTAATGAGAAAAGACGATTTAAGTCCTAATTTTATTCAATGAAGGACAAAATGAAGCATATAATTATTGCTAATGACTTGAATATGTTGTGTTCCCTTGGTTAACGGTTCATAATCTACATGAATTTTTTTAATTTTATTTTTCATACAAAAGAAAAATAAGGGATTTAATCTTATTACTCAATTTCTCTATAAAATGAATAGAATAATAAAATCAATCTATTTTTAAAAAAAAACATAAAAAATAATTGCAAACCTACCATTTAATAAATTTTAACTTCTGAAAATTAAACAAATTGCTTTTAATAAAGTCGTTGGAGTACAAATTTTGAATTCAACGGATAATAATTTTTTTTCTCTTTATAATAAAGTTTAGCATATTCAAGTCATTAGTAGCATTATTAATATGCTTCATTTTATCACCCGTTGAATAAAATAATGACTTATATTTTCTTTCCTCGTGATTTTATTTTGAATCGCTGAGGTTAAAGTTCTTTGCATAAGGGTAATTTGAAGTAAAAGTAGCGGGGAAAGAGAAACAATTGAAAAAATGGATAAAGGATTTAATTTCTCAAGACATGGATTCCGTTAATATAAACATATGTTATTTGTATAATAAATGGACAGAGACCAAACCTAATAAGTTTTTAAATATTTAAAGGACTAAAATCGATAAATGTATAGTTAATGAACTAAAACCGATAAATGTATAGTTAAGTGACCAAATCTGATAAGTTTTTGAATAGTTGAAGGACTAAATTCGACAAAAGTATAGTTAAGAGATCATTTTAGACCTACTTCTATAGTTAAGGGACTATTTCTGGCATTTTCTCGTGTTCAAATCAACTACTTCACTTTTTATTTATTCCATCTATCTTTCCATTAATAGATTAATTATTCATGTAATTACACTCAACTCAAAATACACTTTTTATTTAAAATTGAACAGTGTTGTTTTCATACTATGAAAATTCTACACTTACATCTTCTACGAGGTATATTTATAACTAGGTATGTTATGCTTGGCGTGATTTCATACTATGCTATTTGATCAAGATTTGAAATAACCTTGAATCTATTCAACACCTCTACCCATTTGAATTTAAACTTTTTGAGCACTTTTTTGACAATCAGCTAAAATATAAAATGTGTGTAATACATTTGCAATGATGTGGCAAATTGACAATCAATGACGTACATGTAGCATTTTGAGGGGGGAAAATAAAGAAAAAATTGAAGTCTACGTCGATCCGTCTACACATCTAATGATTCATGGCATGCTTAGGAATTAGTTGCATATGTTAATATCCCGATCAACTAATTCATCTCATGAATTGCACAGAAACTTGGAAAATGCCTCAATTTGATCATTGTGTCTCGTATTCAATTTTGATGAGCTAGAGAACTCGACATGTTGGTCAACAAGTGAAAAAGGTGCAAATTTGTTATTCAAATGTCGCCTCGTCCACTAGTCACTGTCGTTATCGCCTTCCAATTCTCATAATCCAACGATTTCGTTTTTCAAATTTGATTTTTTTTTAAGTTGAAAATTGCAAATTGTTTATACACAAAAGTTGATCGAAACAAAACATAGAGAAATGAGGAAGGAGAGGTGATTCATTTTTTTAAAATTTTAAATCTGATTTATTTGGGGTGCAAAGGAAGAAATAGAGTAATCATTGTATGTGTCTCCATTTTTTCGATGAATAAGATCATAGTCTCCGTCACATTTAAATAAAATGAAGAATGATATAGTAATGGTGTTTTCCTATTGAAAATGACAAAGGTGAGGGAGAAGGAGAGGTGACTGAAGAAAAAAGAATGGTGGATGGTGGCAGTGGAAACATCAACGGCAACGGTAGCAATGCTGGTGGTGTTGGAAAAAGCTATGGCTAAGGAAAAAGGAAGAAGGAAGGGATTTTAAAAAAATTAATTAAAAGTATGTTTCTACGCGCTTAATGTATGTGTATTTCATCTTCCTTTCCACGTCAACAAAAAGTATCTAATATGTGCTTATTTTGAAAAATGAAAGTGTTTAATAGGAACAAGTCCTAAATAAAGTATCAAAGTAAAATATGCGGACAACTTTTAAGGGTTCTATATGACTTAAGCCTATTATGTGTGAAAAATTAAAAAGAGCATGACAAAGTTTTGTTGGATGAGACACTTATTAGAAAGAGATGCCAGTCATGCTTTCATAAACTCTTAAATGAAGAGAGAGACAAAGACATTTTGATGGGGTGCTAGGAGATTTAAAGCACTGCGTGAGTTGTCGTAATTTTGAATATTGTAGGGGTATGATGGGTGATGAGGTTAAGAGTGTTATTCGTAGAATAAGTAGGAAAAGCATGATTGGACAAGACAATATCCCAATGGAATGTTGGAAGAGCACGGACAAGACAATACCGAAGTGACTGACTAGGTTATTTAATGTTATTTTAAGAACAAAAAAATGTCTGAGTAATAGAGGTAAAGTACCATGGTTCCATTGTAGAAGAACAATGATGACATTCAAAATTGCAACAACTATATACATACGGTTATCAAGTTGTGCAATCACACTTTAAAAATATGGGAAAGAATGGTAAAGATGACAATGAGGAGGAGCGTGTCTATTGTTGAGAACCGATTTGAATTTATGTCAGGGCAATCGACTACAAAGTCATTCATTAGGTGAAGAGACTGGTGGAATAGTCAGAGAGAGGAAATAAAACTTACACATGATGTTTATTGATAAAAATAGGACATACGAAATAGTATCGAGTATGTTCTATGGAGATGCTTAAAGGCTGAAGGTGTACATGTAGAGCATACTAAGGGATTAAAGACATGTACAATGAATCCAAGACTAGAGTAAGTGTGGTGGGAGAGACTTGGAGTACTTTTCAATGATGATATCTACAAGAAACTTGACTTTTAACGACCATGTCATAACGAAGGGACAAAAATTCGGTCGTTATAAATTTACTTATAACAACCAAAAAATTCCGGTCGGTAATACCATATATGTTAAAAAGAAAAGCGTTAATTATTGATTTATATATTTTTTTAAATAATAGGACCTGGGGTCATCATTTTGTTTTTTATATTTTTCTACTTTGTATAAGCGGCCAACAAGGTTTTTTTTTGTACTTTCAAGCATACTCACACCTGCCGCTTTTCACATAGGAACACCATAAGCAGTTTACATTGTTTCTGTTGGATTTGCTCGGGTTTAAATCGTTTCTTTCGATATCTTTCACTGTCGGATCTGCTCAAGTTTTCTCCGTGTCTCTTTCCATGTATGTCTTCTAGGTTTATTGATTGAAGTGTTGATGGTTTGATTTGGAATTCTGTTTCTGTGTTTGATCTTGCCTCTTGGTTGGATTTATTTCTCTTCGGTGTGATTTGGCCTTTTGGGATGTACATTCTGCAATTTATGCTTCTAGAGTGCTTTTAAAATGGAGTTATGCAAAAAAAGTTTTTCTATTGCTCAACTCCATTCCACTTATTTGTAAAGTTATGAAATTTTGTTTAATTTATAGGTCATCTAGATAAATTCTTTGTAACTGGGAAGTATAGTTTAAGTATTAGTTTGTTGGCATGTTTAATCTGAAAATAGGAATTTGTAGTTATGAATCCCATGCTTTACTTTTGGTGCAGGAAATGAAGTTTTAAAAGCTGAACAATTTCTTGAGACCATTATCAACAGTATTTGTCACTTGCGAGCTTATTATAAACCTACATCAAGTGATTCATACTTCTAGAATTGTGAGACCACATAATTAATAAGTTTAAGTTGTTAGAG